TTGTCTTATGGTTTTTCAAAATCATCGGGGCAGGAGCCAAACGTCTTCTACTGCGATCATTTCACGTCGCACTTTCATATACATAAATTATTGCTCATTGATCATGTTATCTTGACCGATAATGCATTCTCTTGCCTTACGACAAATCGAAATTTTGCATTATACCTCTTTGCGCATATGGTTGGAGCAATACTATTTGCTTCGGCACCGCCATTAGCCTATGAAAAGACGAAACAAGCTCATACCGCAGCCACACAATCTTACTTTGATTTATAAAAGATGGCATCACTGGCATGACTTCATCTTGGAAGAAAAATCTCGCTTTGTTAAGAGAAATCAGTCAACTTAATAGGGCATTCAGAGCACAAAAGTTTGTCATGCCATCTTAGTATTTCGATAGAGTACAATTCAACACAGTTCTCTACATGGGCCCATTTTAAACTCGAAATCTCACATAAACCCGAATCTAGGAAGCAACCATCATTCTGATTCAACGAATAGGCTGCAGCTGGGCCATTGCTAAAGAGTTTCTTTTTATATGCCAGACTGTTCCATCTTTCCCCTAATAACTTCATCGGACCTCGCTGTTGCCTTTACTCCTACTTCATCATGGCTGTGCCTAACTGGAGTAATGCCGCTACTCGCTTATTTATTTATATAATTATTTATTATTTATCTCATGTCGCTCATCTGTGCGCTGTAAAATGTCTCACAAAAATATGCTGAGATATCAGAGGGACAGAAACCAAACAGTGTTAAGGCATATTGAAGAGCATTCAGCGATTACTAGTTCTCAAAAGGAAAACAGAATTTATAGAAACTCGTTCTCATTGAGGAATGTACATGGAAAAAGTAACGTCTTTACGGGCTAGCCTTAGGGTCAAAGCCAAGCCGCGCGCCTACCGTCGATGTACTTTCGTTACACGGATAACTGCTGTAGCATAGTGTCCATACAGTCCGAGATGAGTGAGTTCCTCAGAATTCTGATAATCTATAGCAGTATTCACACTATCCCTACCGAATGAATTTTGCGCGAAAGGTGGCTTTTATTTGAACCCCACAAATAAAATAGTAAAGTAAAGACAGAATTGAAAAATATCCTTATAAACGCCATTAGCACATCCTACAGCTATGAAGTCTCTGTCATCCGTAACGTGT